GATACACATTGTGTTGCCCCTTTTACCATATCGACCTTCAATATGCTGAACATAGTTTTCCACAAATACTTCCCTGGACACCTCACCGTCCTCGACGTCGAGTCTGATCAGGATGTCCATGCTAGGGCCGACTATGACCAGGACTTCATCAATGTCACTGTGTTCACCCTTCTCATCGATCAGAATAGCCATTGCTTTCCCTCGGCTCGAAGCTAACCTGCATGAATAAGACCATTGCTCATCTTTCCTTATCTGATCAGTGGACTTGCCAACTTTACCATGACCTTTGGGGATGGTTTGGGATTTCCGGCTGCACTTCACGAAGTCCTTCTTCACGTAAGTTTGAACTTGAGTTTTAGACTCATCAAATCTGATCTTCTTCTTGATCACGTTCGATGCAACCTTATGGAACGTCCCTTCATCATCACTCCAATCATGGATAAGTGCAGGAGTAGCCTTTCAGCTTGGTGCTTCAGTGTTTGGAGCAGTGTTGAATAGATGAGGATCGTGGCGTTTGTTGCATTTGTCTCCATACCGACACTTGCCCTTAGCCCAATGCCAGCATGGTTCATCAATCTTCTTGGTCTTGTTTGCCGGAGACTGACTTCTTGGAGTTCCTGGCTTCCGACCGTTGCCTTTTGCATTCTTGTTCGCATCAAATACCTTTTGGTCGTGACTGTATTCACAATCCTTGCCTTTTCTGCATGCTTTCTTGATGAAATGGAAATGGCATGGGATCTTCTTCTTGGATCTGGGGCTGGTACTTCGGCCGTTTGCTCGATCCTTCCCTTTCCCTTGACCTTTTCCTTTTCCTTTTGCATGCTGTTTAGGCTGAGGTGATGGCAGAACTGGAGCTGCATCGGCCTTGGCCTTCGCCTTGGGCGCTGCCTTCTCCTTGGGAGTAGCTTTAGGCTTCGCTTTTGGATTTGCATCCGGTGCAGCAGCAGTTGGGTTCGGAGCAGGAGCTGAAGGTTTGCCGCCGCCTGCAAAGTCTCTCGCATACTTCTCTCTGGCTGCCACATGCTTGTCCTCTCTGATTCTGGAGATGTGCCTTTCGATGACATCCAACAGGTAGCGATAATTTCGTCTTTGGTCTCCTTCCATCCATGACTCGTACTGCTTGATGTCAAACATCATAAGACTCGAATTTCGAATCTTCTTGTATAGAGCGTCACGAAGCCAATCATCAGGAGGTACGTCATCCGGCATCATGTTTGATACCATCTCCATCCATTTCTCGTAGAACACTTCTAGGTTCGAGTCACCGAGATACTTCATCGATACGATGTGCTCCATGGTGAAGGATGTTTCTCGTTGACCTGGGGTTCTGAAGTGCTCCAGAATCAAAGCCAAGATTTCCCGTCCCATGACATAGGTTCCTCTTCGGCTATGACTTTGTGTTCTCAATCTCAATTTGATCGCTACATGACGAGCAACATCACCGGCTTGGGCTATCACGTTTGACAATGCAATTGACAACTTGGCGTCGATGGACTGATACCGTTGCCCCCCACTGTCATTCAACAGCTCGATGTCAGGATTTGGTCGAATAGCCGGCTGTAGCCATGCCTCCCATGCGGCTTTATCCCCGTCATTTGCCGAAAGAACAACACTCTTGATGAGATCTGATTGCCAAACCCCAAGATTCTGTTGCTTTGGCCATGGGCTAACATAGACTTTGTCAGCCTCTCGTCTTGACATTCTTGGTACTTCTTCCGCAGTGTAAGCCGCTGTGGAGACATCATCTGCTGAATCGCGTTGTGATCCTCGAACCGATGGCAAACCAGGAGGTTCAGGAGGTGGTCCTGGACCGTTAGGCCCAAAAGGGTCCGGAGGTCCATCAGGGTCAGGCGGACCGCCCCATCCACTCGGTGGCCTGTAGTATTCCCTCTCAGTTCCGCCAGCGATCTTGTTGTCAACCTCTTTCAGTAGATCAGCGATTCTTTTGCTTGATTGAGAATGCTGTGGTTGTTGAGGAGGTACAGCATGCCCACGATAGGAATGAGCCACATTTGTCTCATAAGTCAACTCCTTGTCGATCTGCGAAACCCAAGATTTCAGAATAGCGTTTTCACAGTTAGCCTCACTCACGTCATTCTCCAGTTTGTCGATGACCAGTCTGGATGCGAGATCGGAGTTGGGAATGCCTGCCGAATAGGGAAGTGTGTCAGGACTGATCCTAGCCATAGATGTTTCAGAATCCTTGAGACTCTTTCTCAGTTCATCTAAGTGACGTTTCATGTCAACAATCTCAGAATTCTTGATGCCAATCTTTTCATCCCTATCCTGGATTTCCCCCATGAACATGCATGATCTCTCATATTGTTGAACACCACTCGCCAATTTTAATTTTCGCTCACTCTCTAGTTCAGATCTTAGAGTTCGGACCTCAGCATTGGTGAGGGACGACGCCCCTACATCCGCAACTTCAGCCAACCTTTCTTTTAACAACAAGTTCTCTTGTAAGCATTCATGAACTTCATGATCTAGATCCTGAACCCTGATTTGAGCGATCTTAGCTTGATTACGTAGATCTTCAACAAGCATCTCTTCGGGGCCACGACCGTCGGTCGTAGAACCCTGAGTCAACGATCTTCGTAACTTCGTGTTCTGCAACTTGATCTCATCCTTCAATTCGCAGTTCATCTTCTGCTCGTTGGCATAGAGCTCTTCATAGTGCTCTGCCCTTGCGATCGAGTTTGCACTAGCCTGTGATTCAAGCCTCAGGTGAGATATTGCTTCGGCCTCTTGGTTCCTGTATGATGCAATTCTTTTGACGGTATCATGTTCAGTGTTTCGATGCTTCAGATCACTTTCCAATTTGGCCTGATTTGCTTCGAACACCTTCTTCCTAGACTCTCTAGTGATCTCATCAATACTGCTCTCATACAGCTCGGCCTGTTTACGAGACTGAACCAAGGCTTCACTCAATAGCTGATTTCGCTCAGATAATTCATGAACTGCAATTGATTGTTGCTGGCTAATCACTTCAAGTTGATTACTAGAGGTGGATGCCATTTCAGATCGATTACGATATTCCATGATTGAGTTCTGGAAATCATTTTGCATTTCTTGACCTTCATTGTATAGTCGATTGGCAATATCGGTGGTTAAGACATTGGTTTGATGAAGTTGTTGTAGTCTTGCCTCCGTATTACCCAGTAGTCCTTGAAGGTGATGTACTTCATCCTTGTACTCCTCCTGGATCTCCATACCACGTTGATGGATCCGTCGTGCACCATGTTCCATTAGGGCACCTCGGCGTTCAAGGTCTTGGATGCGTATTGTTGCACCTTCATCTTCCTGAGATGCTACCATTAGTTCTGCTTGATATTCTGCAACCTCGTTTGCGGAACATGACAATCTATGATTGAGTGCATTGACCTCATCAAATACATTCTGATTGTGTTCCCGAAGATACTCAGTGAACCTGATCTCGATGTCATGAATCAGTTGATCCCTGGATGCAGCGTATGCTTCCATGTTGTTCAGCTGATTACGTAGGGATTGACATTGTGCCCGTAGTTCTTCTATCATGGCAATAGGTTCACTAGCCACAGAAGTATCCGTCGATCTCCTCTTAACACGACTATCCCCGGTCCTCTCACCAATTCGGTCGGTTACGGCCCTGGTGGATCTGTCCCTTGGAGTAGTACGTCCTCGAGATGGTCGATGCCCTTGGCGGACAACATCACTCCGAGCACCGTTTCGAGAAGATCTAGGTGTACTTTGGGTGGATATTCTCCGTCTGTTTGATGTGACTTGCCATCCGGACTGTGTAGTTCGGGTAGAGCGTATCCCGCCACTGTCTGCCGTGTCGCCAAGGGAAGATTGATTGACCTCCTCGACCGGCATAGCAGCGTTCTCATTGAAGGTAAACTGCGTGGTGCGCGAATCTCCGCTGCCGCCTTGCATCTTTGCGATGGTGAGCTGATTGGTCCTTTGCGTCCTCAATCAATTGCTCAGAAGGCCCGGCTACCAGCACGCAGGTACCACTCTCCCGGCGGGAGAAGTGAGCCCTACGGCTGATAACCTGTGAGCAAATGAATCCTTGTTCTGGATGTAGTTATCAATTGCGGTACCTGTTATGCTAGTATTGCCGGACACTGATGAGGCATGGCAAGCGCAGCTCGGACCCTTTTCCTCGCACACGGACTTGAGCCAGTACGGCGTCCAGATGTACAGTTAAGCATGTACATCACAAGTGTCCTAGTGTTCAGTTCCCTTTGACAGAATATATATATACAGCATATTTAGATGGTCTTTGTTCTCGCCATTATTAATATTATTGATATTGATATTGTCACTAGTTAACTAGTTTGAATCAATTATGATGCCTATCATTAATACTGCATACTATGATAATATAGCGCATATATATATACATATATATATATATATATACATCTTATCATTATCATCAACATTGACAATGATAATGTTATCAATAATAAATAGGATATACCACATAGCTTATCAATATCAAACATATTTATGTATATCAGAATACATCCACAATACTACTGGTATTCTCCAATAGTACAAGTGTCAGTATTATGTATTATTGATATTGATAATAATAATAATACCGTTATCCATAATAATGTTCTCCAAAATAATAAGTATAATAATGACAATAAGTATAATGATAAGTAAAATAATAAATATAATAACAGTAAGTATAGTAACAATAAACATAATAACAAGAAGTATACTAACAATAAGTATGTATAATAATCATTAAAAAAACATACTAGGAATAATAACACACCGATAAACACAATAAGAATAACAATACCAATAGTAACAACATGAAAAACAAATAACAAACAAAACACAATAACAATCATACAGCATACATATTACAAGTGACATCCACTATTCTGACAATAACAGAACATATTAACTATTAACTATATTATCAACTATATGGCTATGGATCAATACTTATAAACACCACGTCGCCGGGGGGATGAACATCCATAAATCCATCCAGGCACGGAGGGAACATCGTGGCAGTCACCGGTTTTTCGGTGCCGTCGCTGCAAAGGGCCTGAATTCGCACTCCGCCGATTTCACGAAGCATTTAACTTGGATTTGCCAAAAAACTTGGATGTGCTTAAGGAGTCCCAAATATATATATATATATATATCATTCTACATATAATCATATATAATCATATATATATATGTATTAAACATCATCCTAGCAGATTCCCCAAATGGTGGATTAGCCTATGGGAAAATTGAAAATAATCTTCAGCAAATCCAGGATTTGGGAAGTTCACCGATCACAAAGATTTTCGTGCTTTGGGTATTTAACCAATCAATTTATGGGGATTTTCCAGGGTATTTTTAGGGAAGAGAGTGGGGATATGGTGGGACAAATAGAACATATAGAACCATGAGCAACTATATAAAATTTTGGATTCGCTTGGGATTGAACCAACCAATTTTTTGGATTTAATCAATTTTAATCATCAAACACAAAAGTAGGGATTTACGACTTAAGCAATTGGTAGGGGAAACTGGGGTGTGTGTGTCCGAAAATGGGGGCATATCCCCCCACTGACCATGTTTCATGACAGAGAACATGATCAACCATCGAAGGGGGGGTACCCCATTTTCAGACCAACAAAAATATCCTGGGGGATATCATGGGTCGGATGAACCAATAGGGCTATCATCGCGGAGTTAACTTGCAAATATGGGGATATCATGGAATTAAAATTAGGTTTTCATGGGAATCCCACCCTAGCAAGTAGCAACTAGCAAACGAAACTCAAGGATTTTACCAAACAAAATCGGAAATGCAAAGCACAAAAGTAGGATCATCATGGGGAGAGGGAGGTTAAGTCTATCATGGATGGAATTGGATCATCTCAATCCCCAGAAAATAGAAATCTCTTCGATGGTGAAGTCAGCTACGATACCATGGAATTCCTGGCTCCACAGAGCAATGAGACTTCGATGTTCATCATTCATCCCAAAACATTCTGATTTACAGTAGTCTGGAAGATTTTCCCAGCTTGAAACCTCCACTTATAATCATTTATAGTGGACTTTCCCATTAAAACCACCAATTTATGGATGATTTTCTCCATATATACCCACATTTTCCCAGGCTTTCCAATGTCATCCATTTTAGAAATGGGATGTTTCCAGCTTGCCATCCTCTCC